AAAAAAAAAAAAAAAGTACGTTTTTTAAACCGTTTTTTCGATTTTTTTTTCTTAGGTGAAAATTCATTTGTCCAAGCGCAAGGTTTCGCTTTTCAACAATTTCAACAATTTCACCAACAACAAAACTGGAATTTATATAATCAATTAACGACAGATCCATTTATTCTTGAAACAAATAATAACATGTTAAATTCTCTCGATCAGGACTTTGTTAATTATAATTTTCAACAAAATCTTGATTTCAATAGTTTTAATACAAAGAAAGGATCAAATCACATTTATTCGAATTATACGATACCTTCAATTACTTCAATAATATCTCAACATGTTACGACAAATAATATTAACTCAATGAATTTTTTACCTTTATCAAATATGATTACACCACCAATAATATCTTCAATACCAACAAAATCATCGATTGGAATAGATTTTAATTATAATGAAAATACAAATCTTTTAACTCAATCACAATCTCAACCTCAATTTCAATCTCAACTTCAATCTCAACTTCAACCTCAAAATTCAATACAATCATCTGATACATTATCATATTTTACCATTCCTGATAAAGATACTACAATTTTATTACAAGATATATTGGATGGAATGAAAGTCATGCAAGAAATTTCAAATGATTTGTCAACTTATAATAATTCAAATACGGATAATAATATACTTCAAGATATTACGAATAATTTAGTTATGGATCTTGTTGATGAAAATTCAGTTGACTGGTTAATTCAAGATAATTGGGAGGAAACGTCAATACAGGGCGAAACGTCAATACAGGGCGAAACGTCAATACAGGGCGAAACGTCAATACAGGGCGAAACGTCAAAACAGGGCGAAACGTCAAAACAGGGGGAAACGTCAAAACCGGGCGAAACGTTAAAACAGGGCGAAACGTCAAAACAGGAGGAAACGTTAAAACAGGGCGAAACGTTAAAACAGGAGGAAACGTTAAAACAGGACGAAACATATGAATCTAAGGGAAAATCACCTGAAAAGGTATTGTTACTTTTTATTTAACATAATTTAACGTAAATTGAATATAGTATTTTTATTAACGAAAAATTTTTTTTTAGAAACATGAAGAGATATTTTGTCAGTATGTTGATGATTTAATTGAAGAACATATGAAAGAAATCAAAAAAGTCGTTCATAATGAGATATTATGTCAAGAAATTTTAACAGAATCATCAAGTTTGGAATATCAAGATTTTAAAAATTTTATTCAAACAGAAGATACGACGACGACAATAATAGATAATCAAGACATAATAATAAAACAAGAAGTAATAAGCCAAGAAATAAGCCAAGCCGAATCCTCGTCATCATCATCATCATCATCATCAAGTAATATGTTTGTACCACATTTCTCACATGGAATGTTAACAACAAACTCAACAAAAACAAATCAAAGAACACTTAAATGTGACGAGGTTGGATGTAGTAAAGAGTATAATTGTTACGCAAAATTGAAAGCTCATAAAATAACTCACACGAATGAAAGACCTTTTATGTGTAATGTTTTTGGATGTAATAAGAAATTTAAAAGATCGGGAGAATTAATCAAACATCAATTAGATCATTTAAATTGAAAGATTTTAATATAGTGTTAGTATAGGAAATATTAAGAGAAATTAAATAAAAATATTATTCTCCTGATTATGATCTTTTTACAGTACATATAAAAAAAAGAGGATAAACTTTTCTAAAAAAAGATAATGTCCGTAAAATCCATAAAATCCCAAACGCCCGCAAGTTCGGGCAACATATTAACCTTAAATATGTAAGAAGGGCGTTTTTTTGAAATCCTTCGGATTTGATTGTCAAATGATGATTTGCAATAAAAGGAATGAATTTACTTAATATGGTTAACTAAAATGAAACCAAGTAAAAAATGACATAGGTTTATAAAATTGACTGACCTGACTATCATCATAATAACACGTATTAAAATGTTCTTTTCCCCGAATACAAAGAAAAATGATATCATTATAGTAAAGATATACGTGACACTACACCATTTGGGGTGCATGATCATTTGTAACACGCAATATTTTGTAGATCGATTTAGTTAGTTTCGTTGAAAGAGAGAGAAAAAAATATAGATTATATAGATTGTTTATAGATTGAATAGATTGTATAATTTACAACCTGTATAATTAATTTACAAAAAACCTGTATAGTTTACAATTTGTATAGTTTACAATTTGTATAATTTACAATTTGTATAGTTTTACAATTGTAAATATTTTCCCCCCTTTCCTCCTCCTCCCGCCCCCGGCCTCGCCCCCTCCCCCTATAATATTTTAGTTGTACTGTATGAAAATAGTTGTACTTGTATGAAAAAAAATATAAAAAGAACAACGAGAAAAAAAATGAAATACTTTTTCCTTTTTCCCTATTACATAAATTATTTACACCACATGTAATTTTTGGAATAAATGTGATTTTTAAGTCTTAATAGTCTTATTAGTCTTATTCGTTATTTTCTTTGAACACAAAGTTATTTTTTTTTTTACATGCATCATCAAAAAGATTTTCGGCATCTGTTTTATTTCCAAATTTAATAAACAAAACATCTTAATTTTACATATTTTACATGTGTTACTCAAAATTCCCGGGGCTAACATTTAAACTTTAAGAAAAATAAGGCACGAATCGTATGCAATAAACTTTAACCACTCTACGGAAAAATTTTTATTTGTAACTTTGTATTTTTGTATTTCAAAGAAATTGATAAACGTAAAAAAAAAAAAATTTGTTTATTTAATATTAATTTATTGGATTTGTTTCACCAATAAATTTTAATGTTCCACGTAATATGCGTAATATGTTGATAACTATACATTTTGTTAAATAATAATAATTTATTGTTATTGTTTGAACAAAGTCTGAAAATTAACGGAGATTGAGGAAAGATGAACGATTTTTGATGATTAAGAAAAAAAAAATATTTATTAAATTAAAAATATAAAAAATATGGTAAAAGTTTTTCCCATTTATTATTTACTGTATACAGTAATTGTAATTGTTACCTTTTATTTTAATTGTTGATTTCATTAAGCTTAAAAATTTTTCAATTTAAATAAAAATTAATTAAATCTCGATATAATACAAGTTTCATCGTATTTACTAAATTTATATTAAGTTAAATGTTTTTTTTACCAAAATTGTTTCGTCTATTATATTGTTTTTTTATTATTAGACTATTAGACTATCAGACGTATTATTATACTAAAAAATATTATCTCGTTTAAAAGAATCTTTGTTCATCGTTTATTAATTTATCTCATATAATAAATTAAATATCAAATATTTTAACTAATTAAATTATTAATAATAATAATCATTCTAGATGATAATAAATATAAACAATTTTTAATTGGTGTTGTGTCAATCTTACAATTTCCGAAGAAATTTCGAACAAGGATTTTTGATTAATTGTGATATGATTATGATAAATTTATCATCATTGAATTATACTAGTTGAATAACTTTTCGGTATTTATTGCAAAAGGTGAGTCTGTTACATGTGTTATCAGATATAGTAGATATAGTAAACTCTTGTGTAAATCTAAATTTTGGCTCCGAAAAATAAAAAATTCAAAAGTATCATATTTCATGAATGACATTTCTTTTATAATACGAAAATTACATAACAAGTATAATAAGTGAAGAAAAGTGATTAATTCGATAGAAATACAAGGTAAATACTCGAAAAATATATGCCTTCTTACGCTTTCTTTATTATAAAAAAAAAAACAAATAATAATATAAATAAAACAAATTAAACAACGAAAAAAAAAATTTTTTTTTTTTCTTTCTAATAGAAATGGATCGGGTATACGACATTACGACTAAACAAAACTTCAAAAAATTTATTATATTCAGCGCATAATAAAATTGTGATAAATATAATTACCGTATATTTCTTTTTTCGTATATTTGATGGGGAAAAAAATTTGTATACAAAATTCTTTGAAAATTACATACTAAAATACGAATCATTCGTTATGTAAGGCGTAAATTTAATACTTTGCATATACGGTATGTACGGTATGATAATGTATATTGAATTCATACATTCAATAGATTAATACAATACTTTCCTTTTAAAGAAGTGTGGGCGATACTTTTATGATTACCAAAACATTCCCTATAACACGTGTCATCCTTCAAATGTTTCTTTATTTATTACCATAAAAGTCAATTCATAATATATTTTTTTTTTTTTGACGTTTAAAAAATTGGTTCTTTTGATATATAAACTAGGAAATGGGATCCGAGTTGCGATTTTATTGGTTTGAGATCACGTGTATGTACCGTGACCACAAAGTATATTCAATTTTCGACTTATTTTATGACTTTCTCAATAATAATGAGTTCCACTGTATTAGAGTTCTCATTGAACGGTCATTAATTTAATCCATTTATACCAATTATAGAATTCAATTATTAGCCATTTTTAAATTTTTAAATATTTTTCGGCGCAGAGTACGACATTGTCTTGTCTGACGAATACTGAAATTCCCGGGAAATTATACACAATACAATTTCTATATACAATATAGTATAAACTATGCATATTGTTGGGAATGTAGTCAAAATAAATACCGGCTCTCGTTGGCGTAAATCATGTAATGCAACAAAATTTTGAAAATTGGAACTAGTGGTAATGATGATATTGATAAATTTATTCAAACCACTCGATTATCAGCAAATATTAGAGTGGATACCTTAATATATTGCAAAAGGTATATCTTCAACTAGTTTATCATATGAAATACATCCAGAAGCTGCTTATACAAGTAGATTACTTAATTTTAATAATAATCTTCCTGAACCAAAAAATTCCGATGATTATTATAATAATTAGCGTTAAATTTTTAGGTAATTTGTTTTAAATAAATTTTATAAAATGTTTAAAATTAATAAATTATTTTTTTTTATTAAACAGAATCCTTACAGGTTGGTATATCTCAATTGAAAATTAGCGATGAAATGTATGATGAATTAATTTTTTGTTTCATTTTAATATTACGATATAATAAATTAATATTTAATTATTTATTTTTTTATTACAGAAAAATAAAAAGTGTTGAAGAATGAGAGGGGATTTTAATAAAATTTTTAACTTATTTAAATAACCCGATAGTAATATTTATATTTAAGAATACTTTAAGGATACTTAACGTATTTTTATCTTCCACGAAATATTAAACAAAGTTTTTTAAAAACTAGGATTGTCAGATCATTAGGATTTAAAGAATATATAATACAGTAGTAATATTTAATATTTTTTTATGGATTTTAATTAATTTGAGATTAAATATGAATTTATTTTGCACTTGGATTTTTAATCATCGATTTTTTTTTTTTGTTCAATTATTTTAAAAACAAAGGTGCAAACTTAATTACTGACATACTCTAAGTCGAGTTACGTCATAGACGTAATAGACGTAATTTAAGTCGTGTAAACCCTTCACCTCTGACCTCTATTTAAAAATATGTTCATACTCTTCAGGTCCTCGTCACATTTTATCTTTTTTAAAAGAATTCAGTAAATGAGACGAAAATATATTTTGAAAGTGTGATATTCAAAAGTAAGAAAAAAAAATAAAAAAAATTTCGGAATGTCTCTAATAATTGTCGATTTAATATTTGCAATTCTGCAGTCCGTGAAAAATTTTTTGGCCAAGAAACATGCAAATTTTTAATTTTGAAGTAAATTTGAATATTCGAAATTTCGAATATAATGACAATTGGTAAAAGAAAAAGTAATATTTTATTTATACAACATATAATAAATATTAATAAATAGTTATTGGAATGAATATCGGTCACAGGATAGAATGATTGGATGAAAATGGGTCACGTAGTGACCATCTTCACCAATCAATGAAGGGCCCTGTGATCGAGATAGCCAATCATTCTATCCGGTGACCGATATGCACACACGTGATCATGCATTTAATATCATAAATAAGCTTTTATAAATTTTATTTTTATGCTATTTTTAATCCACTTTATAAGCTTTATTTAAACTTTTCCTATAAATTTCATTTATACAATATTATTTTACTCCACTTCATTATATCAATCATGTATTATTATTGTATAATAAAAATATCAGTTTATGAAAATCTGCATGATCCTATTGGGCTGAACGATAAACGTACAAATATAAAATAAAAACAAAAAAAAATTCGTGTACGTAAAACATTTCCTCTGGGTTCATACTTTTTTGATATTACTTCAAATACTTTTCTCAATTTTTTTAATTATCATTTGAATTTTTTTTAATTATAAGTTGGATTGTAATTTTTCAAGTATACTTGTATCTTTTTGTGTAGAATTTTATAATTCTGATTTATTCTGATCTGTTCTAATACGCCTTATAATACAATAATGTATCATTGTATCCCAATACTGCAGCTGACACATATAATACTGTTTTCTGACCATTTCTATTAGAAAAGAAAGTAAAATTTTTTTGTGTTATTAAATATAATTAAACTTTTATATAAAAAAAAATAAATATTTGCGTAAGAAGTAACATTACCTCATATATTTCGTAATCCTTATTCTGAAATTCTTTTTATTATACATATATCCACCTATAACAATCGAGTAACTCTCCAATTGAACTATTAAATTGAACACACTAAATTTTTAAAAAATTAATTAATAATGAAAGTTAAAAAAAAAAATTGTAATCATCATAATCATATATATAGTAGCGTTATATATTTTACAATTTCCACTAAGCTGTCTATCTACCAGAGAACAAATGGTAGTTAACGCCTACCGTGACCTGTGACTGAAACTAGCAGGGTTACCCTTACTTGTCTTGTACTAAAGGTTAAAGGAGTCAGTTGGAGAAGAGGTCAAATTCTCTTTATTTTCCATTTTTTTTTTAATTCTTTACCATATTTATTATATCACCATTAATGATCACAATCTTTTGTACCCTTAACAAATGTTCGAGTCGTCCTATCAGGAAAAATTTGCAAAAAAATTATTTAAAAATGAATAAAACTTACGTTGAAGTCTTTCATTATCTCTATCAATCACGTCATATAAATTATAAGTTGATATGATTGATAAATTGAATAAATGACGTTAATTAAATTCTATAATATAAAGATATTTCCAAATTGTTAACTTTCAATTTAATTAAAAAAGGAATAAAAATGCATAGCTTAATTCAGTCGCCCGGAGTTGATAAGTTTCTGCGTATTTGAACAAAAATCTAATAAAATTATGAACGATCGTATTTGAATTTACAACAGTTGCCCCATAAAAAAAGAAAATTCGGAATTCTGGACAAATTCTGGAGTGTCAAAAAAATGTCTGGAATTTGTGCGTCCGGAAAGTGTTCCAAAGCGTGACCGTTTCCGAATGTTTTCCGGACGCACGGAAAATTTCTGGACATTTTCCATACTTTTCAGGACAAATTCCGAATTTTCTTTTTTTATAGGGTTGGTGTTGTAGATAGAAGAGGATGAAGATAAAACTTTATTAATACGAAAAATGTTTTTCTAAAAATGATTATGTCTGATGCTAACCAAATCAAGAGACCGCTTTCGGATATACGATTGAACCTTTATAACTGTACGTTCCGCCTGTGAAAAACTCTTTCTTCCTTTTAACTCTGAGAAAGGTTACTCATTTTCTTAGCAATCTTTAACGAATAGAAAAATCTAATAGAAAATCAGAATAAAAAGTAAAAATATGATTACAAATTTTTTATAATAAAAATTATTTAATTCATATCATTATTAATACCTTTAATTGAATTTCTTATAAAATAATTTTTTTTTATGATATCTTTATGACGCTACATATATAGGGCCACGAGATCTTAGGTTTTTTTGCGCTGTTCCTTATTATTTTTTTTTTTAAAAAAATGGAAAGGTTTATGAAGTACTTTACTTTTAAAATGATTATTATCTATTATGGCTATAAAATCTCATATTTTTCCGAACGTTAAATACGTTAAGCACATTTATTTATACTAAATTTCTTAATATTATAAAATCAAAAGTATTTTAGACAAATGAAAAGAAATAAAATAATTCATATTTATTTTTAAATTATGTAATATATAAAATAAATAAACGACACTCATGGGGTATATTTGCTGGCGGGTAGGGTGCAAATTATTTAAAATAGATTTGATTCATGTAATTTTTCCTTTAAATAAGGAGCATCGCTCCCCTTTGAGTATAATAATAAATAAATAAATAAATAAACGTAACATTATAATACTTAAATATATAAAATATATGATAAGATATATTAAGTGCCTTTAATAAAAGGTTACTATCATAAATAATCTATTAATTTACTATAATTCCTTATTCAATCATTTCTTCAGCACTTTTTGTTTCATCTGCAAACGAAAAAGTACTATTAAAATAAAAATAAAAACAATACATTTATTTATCATTCATTATACATACCTGCATCACTAATTTTTAAATGAGAAATATTAATTTGCAGGAATTCTATTTAATGAAATAAAATATGTTAGTATTTTTATAATTAATTTAGTTATTTACAAAATTATTATTTACCTGAAAATTTTTCACTAATTATATTGTCATTTTTTTCATAATAATCGTCGGAATTTTTTGGTTCGGGAAGATTATTAAAATTAAGTAATCTACTTGTATAAACAGCTTCAGAATGTGTTTCATATGTTAATCCTAAATTAGTTGAAGGTATGCTGCTAGTCGATAAACTATGGTTGATTTCTTCTGCTTCTTTAATTTGTTTTTGTAATTCTGTTTCGCTCAAAAGTATCTCTTTCCCCCATTTATCTAAAATATCAGCAATTTCTTTTGTTGTTGGTCGATTTAATGGATTTGCATCTAAGCACCTTTTAATTAAATGTACAATCAATTGGGGTACTTTAATATTAAACCTTGGTCTAAGTCCTTGACAAATTTTTATTGATAAATTTATATCATGGCTTACATCATGATATGGAGGTAATCCAGAAATTACTTCATACATAATTATACCAAAACTATAAATATCAGAAGCTTTAGTATAATTTTGTCCTCTTAAAATTTCAGGTGCAATATAAGGTAAAACACCATATATTTTATTTTTTGCACTTTCTGATTCCTTATAATCTGCAGGTTTACATAACCCAATATCAGTTATAATAACATAACCATCAGATGTTAATATATTGCCAATATGTAAATCTCTATGAGTCAGTTCGTTTTTGTGAATTTCCTTAAGTCCAGATGCAATATTAGATAAATGTTCAAGCTTATCCTTCCAATCTAATTCACTGTAATTTTTATTTAAGCAATTTCGTAAACTTCCATTTTCTGCATATTCCAAAACCATCATATAATTTTTTGTTTCTGGATCTTGAGTTATTCCCATAAGCTATAACAACATATGTTTCATGGCCCATTTTATAGTGTAATTTAATCTAAATATACATTTTTTTTTAAAAGCACATTAGTAAAAATCACATCAAAAAATTTCATTAAATAATAAAAATTTATACCTCATTAATAAATTCTAGAGTAACATTTTCTGAATTATTTAAACTTTTCAGTGCTACAAACATATTTGAATCCAATCGTCTCCAATTTTGATTTTCATTATCCCATCTTTCAATTTGTCCATCAATCCATTTTGCTCTATAAACTTTTCCAAAACCGCCTTTTGCAATATATTCAATATCATAAAATTTATTGTAAGGTATCCACTCTAATACTTCCGACCAATGAGTTGCTGATAATTGAGTATCTTGAATAAATTTGTCAATATCATTATTACCGCTAGTCCAATTTTTAAAATTTTGTTGAAACCGTTTTGCATTACATGCCTTACACCAATAGCTTCTCGTATTTACTTCACATTTCTCACAATATCCGTTCCAACTCATGGTTTGATAAATTATTCAAAAAAACAATAATAATAGACTTTATAATAACAAGATAACGGAATAAGTCAAAATATAGGAAAGAAAATTATTTAAATATGGAAAAGCTTCATTTATGCATCCAGATTTTGGATTCTGAATTCCAGTATTCGTGTAACAAAACAAATGCTGTACTATTACTGCGTCGGAATATCAAAAAAAGAAAATAATTTATGTTCTAAAATTAAAATGGTATAGTCTAAAGTGGATCATATTACGTAAGTTTAATGAAAAATGAAATTTATTTATAGAATTGTGTATAATCTAAAATATTAAATTTTATAAAATTCAATCAACATTTATTAAAGAAACATTTGAAAACTTAGCATATAATGTTCAAAAGCGGTTAAATTATTACAAAGGGGATACTTTGGCTATTTAACGTCGGTTCAAGAAGTATATATTCAGATATCATGGATGATATATGTAACATGTTGCCCAACTTATTCTTTTGACGAGGAGATTTTTACCGAAACGGAACGGAAAAAAAAAACAATTGAGAATATAATGAGAATATAATATAATTTATCCTATTATTCATTCTACGCCATGTTCTTAAGTATTTTTGCACTGTTAAAAATTAAAACCTCATGAAAAGTGCCGTTTTCAAATGAAATTATCTTTAGAATGTACGATGTTCTCTTAAATTAATTTTTAATAATGCTTCATTATCAATCATCATCATTCCACGCCATCCTTTGCGTTAATTTATATAAAATAAATATTTTTATTTATACAACATACAATCCGATATATATTGTTTACTTATATTAATTATACATATACTTACATATCCGATATATAAAAAAAATAAAAAAAAATCGGGTTACGACTTGTTACGTATAACTACTATTTTTTCTTTTCTTCTGAGTTCGGATTTTTAATATAGTACAATTTCAACTTTTACCGACTTCCTCATTTTTTATCATCTAATGAATTAAAAATTTCACCAAGACATTTACATTGACTTCTAATTCTAACAAATTCATCAATCAAGGTCATCCTATTATTATTCATGTCATCAATATCATTTTGAATATATCTTTTACCAAGAATTTTCCAATTTCTTAATTCTTTATACGCTGATTGTAATTGTTCAAGTATACTCGTATGTTTTTCTATAGAATTTTGTAATTTTGATCTAGTCGAACACGCATTATACATAACTGCTGTCGTTGTTGCTCCTGTAGCATATATTGCTGCTTTTCCGATCCGTTTCTATTTAGAAAAATTTTTTAGGTCATTAAATTTAATTAAGTTTTTATATAAAAAGAAATTGAACAATAAAATGTAAATAGGTTAGGCCACACAAATTCAATTTTTCGGTTCACGTAACATTGAAATTTAAAATCAACCCGGGGACCCGGGGTTTATTGTTTATTAGTAAAAAAAGTTTATATATAAAATCGTGACATTTGATTGGTTGACTTTTAAAAGGGAGGAATTTATTTTCGCTCTAGAAGTTCTCAGCCGCGTGATAAACTTACCCGCCAATAAAATTACGTCCTGATCACATGATAAATTTTTTATATATAAACTTTTTTTTATTGAAATTTGAAAAAGTGACCCGGCCGGGTGAAGTGAACCGAAAATTCGAATTTGTGTGGCCTTACCTCATATTTTTCGTAATCTTTATTTCCGAAACTTTTTATTATATATATATCTATTAAATTGAACGCAGTAAATTTTTTTTTTAAAGAAAAATAATTAATAAATGAAAGATAAAAATGTAAAAAATTGAAAATTAGAATCATAATAAATTCTCAAACTTACATTGTAGCGGTATATAATTTACATGATAAACCTTTCTTTGATCTCTAATTTTCATAATTCTTTATTACATTCATTATTAATAATTATAACAATTCTCATTAAATCTTCCGCAGCTATAACAAATTGTTCAAGTCGTCTAACTATCAGGAAAAAAAAAATTGCAAAAAATAAATAAACCTTACGTTGAAGTCTTGCATATTTTTCCTCATCAAACACATACATCGTATAAAATAATCAATAAATCTATAAGAGTTTAATCCATGATAGATAAATAATTCGTAAACTCGCCGCCAGAGTTGGTATATGCTTCAGCGTATCTAACGTATTTAAATAAAAATCTAGCAAAATTATTATTTGAATAAATCAATCATATTTTAATTGTACAATTTAAATCAGTTGGTGCTTTAGAAGAACGTTATATATCAAAGAAAAGGCTTTACTGATACAAAAATTGTTGAAAAGCAGCTGCATCAATATTTTTATTGATTTTTCTAAAAGTGATTGTGTCTGCTGACGTTAATTCAGCTTCATTAAACTAATTTGAAAAAAAAGGATTATTATTTATTACAACTTTATAAAATCTCATTTTTTTCTATTTTCCGAATGTTAAATACGTCAAGCACACTTACTAATACATTAATATTATAAATCCAATGTAAAATTTAATACAAATCAAAAAAAAAAAAAATACAAGAATTCATATTTATTTGTAATATATAAAATAAATAAACGTAACATTATAATCATGCTTAAATATACAAAATATATGATAAGATATGTTAAATACCTGACCTATAATAAAAAGTTACTATCATAAATAAGCTACTATTCTACTAATTTACTACAATTTCTTATTCTATCATTTCTTCACCACTTTTTGTTTCATCTGCAATACGAAAAAAATATTTATTTTTATTATATATAATAAAAAAAAAAAAATTAATTATAATTATACATACCTGCATCACTAATTTTCAATTGTGAAATATCAATTTGTAGAGATTCTATTTGATGAAATAAAATATGTTAGTATTTTTATAATTAATTTAGTTAATTTAGTTATTCGCAAATTATTATTTACCTGAAAATTTTTCACTAATTATATTATCATTTCGTTCATCGTAATAATCATCAGAATTTTTTGGTTCGGGAAGATTATTAAAATTAAGTAATCTACTTGTATAAACAGCTTCAGAATGTGTTTCATATGTTAATCCTAAATTAGTTGAAGGTATGCTGCTAGTCGGTAAACTATGATTGATTTCTCTTGCTTCTTCAATTTGTTTTTGTAATTCTGTTTCACTCAAAAATACCTCATGCCTCCATTTATCTAAAATTTCTTTAATTTCATTTGCTGTTGGTCGATTCAATGGATTTGCATCTAAGCATCTTTTAATTAAATGTACAATCAATTGGGGTACTTTAATATTAAACCTTGGTCTAAGTCCTTGACAAATTTTTATTGATAAATTTATATCATGGCTTACATCATGATATGGAGGTAATCCAGAAATTACTTCATACATAACTATACCAAAACTATAAATATCAGAAGCTTTAGTATAATTTTGTCCTCTTAAAATTTCAGGGGCGATATAAGGTAAAACACCATATATTTTGTTTTTTGCGCTTTCTGATTCTTTATAATCTGCAGGTTTACATAACCCCATATCAGTTATAATAGCAATATCAGATATTAATACATTGCCAATATGTAAATCTCTATGAGTCAGTTCGTTTTTGTGAATTTTCAAAAGTCCAGATGCAATATTAGCTAAATATTGTAGCTTATTCTCCCAATTTAATTCGCTGTAACTTTTAATTAAGTAATTCCGTAAACTTCCATTTTCTGCATATTCCAAAACCATAATATAATTTTTTGTTTCTGGATCTTGTGTTATTCCATAAGCTATAACAACAAATGTTTCACGGCCAATTTTATTGTGTAATTTAATCTAAATATACATTTTTTAAAGCACATTAGTAAAAATTACATCTAAAAATTTCATTAAATAATAAATAATTTATACCTCATTGATAAATTCTAGTTTAACATTTTCTGAATTATTTAAACTTTTCAGTGCTACAAACATATTGGGATAACGGCTCCAATTTTGATTTTCATTATCCCATTTAAAAATATATCCATCAATCCATTTTGCTCTATACACTTTTCCAAAACCGCCTTTTGCAATATATTGAATATCATAAAATTTATTGTAAGGTATCCACTCTAATACTTCAGAACGTTTAGTTGCTGATGATTGAGTGTCTTGAATAAATTTGTCAATATCATTATTATTACCACTAGTCCAATTTTCAAAATTTTGTTGAAACCGTTTTGCATTACATGCTTTACACCAATTAGATCCAGTATTTTCTTGATTACATTCCTCACAAATTCCGAACAGACTCATGGTTTGATAAATTATTCAAAAAAAAAATAATAATAGACTTTATAATAACAAGATAGCGGAATAAGTCAAAATATCGGAAAGAAAATTATTTAAATATGGAAAAGCTTCATTTTATGCATCCAGATTTCGGATTCTGAATTCCAATATTCGTGTAACAAAACAAATGCTGTACGATTACTGCGTCGGAATATCAAAAAAGAAAATAATCTTCGTTCTAAAATTAAAATGGTATAGTCCGATGTGGATCAGTTATTTATAGGATCGTGTATAATCTAAAATATTAAATTTTTAAATTTAATCAAATTTTATGAATTAATTACACATATATTAGGGACATTTGTTAAATTATTACAAAAGAACACTTTGGTATTTAATGTTCGACTGATGAAGTACATATTCAGATATCATGGATATACGTAACATGTATCGCCAAACAAATTTTTTAACGAGACGAAACGGAACTGAAAAAATAATGATAAATGATAACTGAATATAGTATAATTATCTTATATGATCATATTGATTTCATGCCATGCTCGACTCTTACGTATTTGCACGGCTGTTAAAAATCATAACTTTGTGAAAAATTCCGTTTTTAATGAAATTATCTTTAGAATGTACGATGTTCTCTTAAAATTAATTTTTAATAACGCTTCATTGTCAATAATCATTCCCACACCATCCTTTTCGTTAATTTATATAAAATAAATATTTATTATTTATACAACACGATATATATTGTTTACTTATGATATTAATTATCCCTTAAAACTGTAGGGGTTAAAATTAATTTTAAAAATTTTTGAATTTTTAAAATATCTTAAGATCTAGTGATCATAGAAAGATGAAATTATATTTGTTAGATTCCTCTTATTAAGGCGTATTTAATGGTAATAAAATCATAACTCTAAAATTGATAGATAAAAAGTTATATTAATTTATAAATTTTTAGATTTTATAAGTTATCCTGTCACATAATATTTGTAGAAGGACAATTTTATTTCTATCAGATTCTTCTCATTAAGACGCATCAAATGGTGGTAATTTTATATTTCTAGGGTTAATGGATAAAAAGATATTTCAATTTGAAAAATTTAGCTACTATTTGTTATAATTTGTTGATCATTTATTTACTTTTAAAAAATCATTAATCAAATTGAATTTTTTTTCGATTTTTACTTAGAAAATACTATAGAATTTATTACAAAAATATTGGTTTATGTAATAAAATATTTTAAGATATTTAAAAGTGTCTTTAATTAAAAAACAAAATTGCAGGCAAATAAATCAGTATTACATATCAGATATATAAAATGAAACAATAAAAAAAAAAAATCGTGTTACGATTGTTACGTACGACTACTATTTTTTCTTTTCCTCTGGGTTCGTATTTTTTAATATATAATTTCAACTTTATGAATACTCTTCGCTCGGCTTCCTCATTTTTTATCATCATCCAATAATGAATTAAAAATTTCACCAAGACATTTACATTGACTTTTAATTCTAACAAATTCATCGGTCAAGGTTATCTTATTATTATTCATGCCATCAACATCCTTTTGAATATATCTTTTACCGAGGATTTTCCAATTTTTTAATTCTTTATACGCTGATTGTAATTGTTCAAGTATACTCGTATGTTTTTTGTGTCGCATATAATGCTGCTTTTCTGATCTATTTCTATTTAGAAAAAGAATAATTTTAGGTCGTTAAATTTTTATATAAAATATTGAAGTGAAAAAAGTAGGGTTAGGTTAAAATTACCTCATATTTTTTATAATCTTTATTTCCGAAATTCTTTCTATTATAAACGCAGTAATTCCGATTGTACTATGAAATTGAACGCATTAAATTTTTTTTTTTAAAAAAAAATAATAGATAAATTGTAAAAAATTGTATCATAATAAAAATTTTCAAAAAGTTACATATAATTTACATGATAAATCCTTCTTTTGATTTTCCAATTTTTCTAATTTTTTATTACATACATTCATTATTAATGATTTAATGATAATAACAAGTCTCATTAAATCTTCCACAGCCTTAACAAAATGTTCAAGTCGTCCTATAAAAAAAAAAAAAAAAATAATTTTTAAAAATGAATAAAATTTACGTTGAAGTCTCTCATGTTTTACCTCATCAATTACATCGTATAAAATAATCAATAAATCCATAAGTGTTTTATTCATGATTGATAAATAATTCGTAAAAACTTTAAAGATTCTATTAAATTCTTCATCAGAATCTATTAATACTTGACATGATTGATGAATTGAATAAAATGCGTTACATAATTTCGAGTAACAACGGTTTCCCCCTTTTAATTAGGTAAAAATTATAATCTCGAATTTAAAGGAATTTTACAAAAAAATGAGGCCTCCTTTCGTATTCATAAATCCCATTATATGGTGAAATAACTTTCAGTCTGTAATCTAGCGAAATTATTAACTATCGTATTTGAATTCAACATAAAACTATGCTAAATAACGCACACGGTAGTACTATCACTATTATCAAAAACGAAACCATTTTGCATTTAACTGAAATTTTATCCGATTAATCGCAAATAGTAACAGTAGCCATACTAGGCGTAACCCGTCACGTTGCGCCGGAAGAGAGTGATAATAACACACATAGCCATGCAGTGTGAATAGGTCTAGTTTTTTACTATTATTATGATGGTATTAATAGGAAATAAATGTAATAAATTACACAATTCACATGCTCATACAAATAACAATAAATTGTGCGTAAGTGTCATACAGTATATGTTATATTATTATTAAATACAAATTTTATTTATCACACGAAACAAATGTTGAAATTTATGATTTATTTATACATTTACAAATTCATTGTAAAATTAATTTGTATAAGTATTTTATTGTTACATAGTTACAAAAAAAATCTTTTTTTTTTATCTTAAAAAAATTCCAAAAAAAATTACATCTTCTGTTGAAAAAATATATATATATTGTTAAAGAAATTCATTATAGCAATCTATTGTTATAGAAAAAAAAATATCTTACTATCATATAAATTAATATGAAAAAAAATTCCCCAGAAAAATTAATTATAACGATCTATTGTTACAATAAACTAGAGTAACTTGGTAATTATTAGTGAGTTATAATCATTATACTGTCAGATTGACTCGAAAATTTTGGGTCGGGTCATCAAACGTTTTTATAATTAAATATAAAAAAAATTGATTTTTTTATTAAAAACGTCAGACT